TATATAAATTATATATTTTATTATTATTGTTTCCTTGTCTTCTCAATCTTCTTCCCTTTACCAATCGACTTGGTCCAAAAGAACTCTGGTTAGATTATTCTTTAGAATTTAGGCTTCTCGACGGTTTATAACATTTAAGAGGTAAGATTTAGTCATATCAATACCAAAAATAAAAAAAGATATAGAAGTTTTTGCCGTTTTTCGGTTATTTAATAATATATACTTAGGCGTATTTCATAAACGTATATTTATATAAATATATTATTTTTTATTTGAATGCCATATTTTAAAATATTGATAAAGTTTCAAGAAATATTCGACAAGTTGTCCTTAACAATCATTGTAACAGTCCTCAAAATACTATAAAGCGCACGCACGTACATCGATACATCAAAGCGACGAAAATGGACTAGAAACTAGCTAGTTACATACATACATAAGCCATAGAGTCTTAATATAACTATATATATAAATATTTGCATGTTTTTTCCATTTAAATTTAAATTAACAACAAGAAATACCCTATAAACTAATATATATTTAATTTATTTTGTTGTTTATCCACAATTTACACTTTTGTCAAAGCGAGGGTATTTAGATACGAAATGGAAGATTATTTAGATTCAGAATGGAGATTTTTAGAGGTTTTCCCTTTGGATTTTTCGATTGGATTCCGAGAGTGTAAGCATATCAAAAGAGTGTATAAAGTGTGACTTTGAGAAGAAGAAGCTCAAATACTGATATCTATTTTAAAAGGCGATAGATTTAGTTTTGAAAACTTGACGTCAAGCAGCTCGACTTCATTTGATTTTCAGTTGGAGATAAGTAAGTTCCAGTGTTGAGTAATTTATTTTTGAATTATTCGCTCCTGATTGCAGCTCGATGATCTTGACGATTTTCGATTGATCGATTCCAGATATGCGCCCGGGGTCCAACCTTCTGCATTGGTATCTGTTTAGAAATTACATTTTAATTATTAATAAAACATCAATATCGACATATATAGCTATGTATATGTGTATGTTTAGTGAAAACATGCAGTTTATAAAACATGCGCCATTTAAGGATCAATTACCTAAGACGCGCACGTACCACCAGCCGGCACAGCCCACTTTTAATAGCTCGATAGCTTCGCCTTCTCGCATCGAAACTTCCGAGTGACCCATAGCCGTATAGTCAGCCAGGGCAATGAATTTACTGCCCTGTATCGAAATTGATACAATATACATATATTATTTGTTGTGTGTTGTTGTCCGGTTAGTATTTGCATTCAGTATAGTATAGAAACAGTATGTAAACAGTTAAGGCAGGCATTTGGAGTGAATCTTATAGCTGTGTGTGTTAATATAGTACTTAAGCTTTAAGCGGTTGTTAATTTATTATTTAACTATTTGCAATTAACCTTCAAAGAACGAATTTAATTTTTTTAAATTGTTAAATATATGCATATA